ATTCTTTTTTTTAAAAAGCTGTTAACTGTATTTGGATACTTAGAAATGCACATTTTAGTATGAACAGATTCAAATAAATTGTTCAAAAAACTAAAATTAATTGCACCAAGAGAATTAAAGTTTTATCCCTTGTACGGTTTCACGTGTAGAAGAAATTTGAGACAGGCTCCCAGTCCTGTGGCACAAAGAACTGAGAAAGGAGTGTGGACAGGGAGTGGAGCGCATCCTGCTGATATTCAGGTGGCCCCCAGGGGGAAAGGAGGAGAAACTTCCTTTTACTATGCATGCAGTACGACCCTTTTAGGACTGGGACGTAGCCCAATACTAGGAACGCTCTCCTGTTGCTGTGATATGATTTAATTTTGGCAAGTTACCCTGCAAATCTCGGGTAAAAAAAAAAATCTGATCTTTTATGTAGAAAACTGTCCTGCTTAATATATAACCATCTTACACATAGTCTTTGGAGCATTATCCAGGTTGGATAGGAACAACCTGTATTAGAAAATTTAAAAATGTACATATCTAAATATAAAGAAGTAAGTTTCCATATCCAGCAAACCAGATTTCTTTGTAATTTACTGATAACACTGAATAACTTTCATTCTGTAGCATTTGGAAGGACTTTGCTTATCAAATGACTGTTCCCTCTATAGCACATATTAGATATTTTTAGATATGCTGGAAATAATTTTGCACTTAGTCTATTAGGTAAAGACTAACTGTGGTAAATAACTATAAATGATTAATTCCTTTTTAAGTGTAAGACCTTTACCATATTTTCAGACTGATTAATAATTTCTAAAAGTTCAACATAGCTGTCCAGGTACCTTGTAACAACTGTCATGTGCTAGCAAGCATCACAAAATGTTACATCCTGTAAGAATGTGAACTTAAGACAGCCTGATAACTCATCAAATTCTTAATAAAGCTATCTTAATTAGGTATAAGTTTTTCAAATGTGCCAACATTTTGAAAAATTTATAATGGTTTTAAAAGAATTTAAAATTACTTATTCTTTACAACTAAGCACTCTACTATTTCCAATACATATTGATAACACTTAATATTTAGTATACACATTTACTTTTTCAAAGGTAATTTTTACTTTATACTTAATTCTTAAATACTAAGCATTTTAGGAAATGAAGTGTCAATACACAATTTATACTTTTATACTAAAATAAAGAGCTACAAGAAAGGCTTTTATAAAAATGATATGAACAATATCAAGTAGTTACATATTTAATTTAAATTTGTGATTAAAATGTGGACACCTCCAGAAAAATCCAATAGTTTTTTTTCACATCTAAAATATTAAAGTCTTAATGTGTATAAATATTTATCTGGAGGAGGGGGGAAAAAAGCTTAGTTGAATGTTATAGTCCAAGGTTCATATTGAACTCAAAGTATTAGGAAGATTAAGTGATTCTCTGAACACCAGTGAGAAGTGTGTAGAAGATAGAGGTCACCCTTTGAAAGAAGATCTCTGTGACCTGTGTAAATAGGAGCCCCACAAACACTTCCAACAAGCATAGGTCAGAACAGGGTCATGGCTCCGGGCCCTCTGGACCACTGTCGGCCCAGAGGAGTGTGCTCACCGCGTTACTCTCTCGTCCTTCAGCTCCAGGTCCGCCACTGTGATGAGCTGATCCAGCTTGAATTTAGTGTCGATAATTTCTGCATCCTGAGGAGAGTATGTCCCACCTTCTTTCTGCTTCTGTCGAATTCTAAAGTGAGTGTAGTCAAGTCCCAAAAGGGAATAGCATAGAAAGGATAGAACATTAGATTCAGTTTTCTTTTTAAGTAAAGACATGAGTCAAATAATTTTTGTGTTGGGATCACATCTCTGATTAGGTTGTGAATTTATAGCTATTCAACTTTTTTCCTGTTTTAATTCCATAGAATGTATTCTACTATAATTTTTTGACATTTCTGAGTCACTGGCACATTTAAAATACAGAGCAAATGAAACTGAGGCTGGGAGCTAATTTCTCCTCCCCCAAAGCTGTCTCATAGATTTGTCATAGAAAGGAAATATGCCAGTGTGGAAATAGCTCACTGCCGTCAGCGCCAGTGCTAAAAGGCAACACTCGATTGCTGTTACACACATGCAACATTTTTACATGTGTGAAGATACATTAAAATGTGTTTTGAATTATCTCATTGGCTTTTGATAAAAATATTGTCAAGTATACAACATCTAAGTAAGATTATATATAGGATACATAATTAATCTAACCAAAGAATATAACATATAACCGGGAAACTCAGGTTTAGAAACAAGTCACATGATCTGAGAATCACATCCAAGTCTCTTCACTTTGAGCCCTGTTGTACATGCTTATTGTTCTATGACACAGTATGGTATATTACAAAGTAATATTTAGCTATTCTATCTTTTGTACTCCAAACACTTAATATTTATTATAAATCCTGTGTTGATGATGATAAAGTGTGAAATATACTCCTTATCCTCGAGGACATAATTTAGTAGAGAAGCAGGATCTAAATGTAGAAAAAACATAATTCAAGTTACAACTCATAAAACAGTAATTGTTTAGTTACAAATGTTACATAAGTGATTACAACTATTAGTATTTAGAGAAGTAGAAAGTAGGATTTGACTGGAGTGTCCCAGAACAAGAAGGGGAAAGCACATTTCTGGTTGATTGAACAAATCAGAGTTGTCTAAAAACCTAAGAAATGTTCAGGCGAGAAGAGACACTCTTGGCTACAGAGAAGTATGCAGGAAAGTTGTAGGGAATGAAGGGGCCATTTTCTGCCCCCGAGAGAGTTCATCCTGTTTAAAAAAAATGGTTTTAGAGCAGAAAAACAATATAAATATGGTGGAATCACATCCTTCAGGGACAAGGACCACATCTTACACAATATAGCTTTACAAGTGCCTAAAATAACCATGTTCTCTTACCGTCTCCCGGCTCAATCTGAGAACACTGGGATAGGGAAAAGCCCTTTAAGTTATCCAGTAAAATGATAATTTTAAACATTCAAGATGAAACAGCATGCATGGCATACAGAATACAGGATGACAGTCTTTCAGATAAAATAAAAGTAGCACCTCGTGTAATGGTTATTTTTACAAATGTAAGGTGTCTAACTCAGCAATCTACCTTATGAAACTAGACTTTAGGATCATAACTAAGACTTCCTCTGAGGTCCTGTGAACAGGGGGATTAAGACTGATACTGAGAATTTGAAAGGACACTTAGAAAACATAATACAGACATTTTGGTAAACATGAGAAAGGGGCCTATCATATAAAGAAATGGGACGTTTTTAAAGTGGTGTCCTTACTTACTGTAAAAATGTTCTGTATAAACTTTAAAATTTAGACCTGGTTGAAATACTTTTAGTTAAACCTATCAGAGTTATAGATTATTTGAAAAGATGTAGAAAGCCTGACACCTTCTGCTTTTGTGTTTGTGTCTCAGCTCTACGCCCACCCTTCTTTGCCCTGCCCTGTGATACTGGAGTAGCCTCTGTAACATACCTCATATCTCCTTTGCCAACTGGCAGGATGTTAAGCCTTGTCAATAGAGGGCACCACAGTGATCCTGCAAGGCCACAGGGACACGCTTCCCTTGAGAGTTGAAGTGGTGCATTATTCATGGTGGGAGCCCAGCAGCCCACCCAGATGAGCTCTAGCTGCCTCTTAATGTTCATACTCTCTCCATCAGTGAATGATCCAAGTACCTCCAGCCCACCTACATAATCCCAAAGAGTGGGCTGCTTCCACGGTCCGATTCCAGCCTGCCTACCCTCCAATAATGAATAATGATGGGGAGCTTCTACAAAACAGCTCCAGCCCCTTCCTCTGTCAGATTTCTTTGTCCAAGGATAGGTGATAGGCAGCATGTGCCTTTGGTGGCCATTCCCTGTCAAACAGGAGTGAGACTTCTAGTTCTTTGCTCCTTTATTGTCTGCTCTCCCTTAGCCTAGAGACAGCAGCCACTGTGTTGCACTTGCTACTTCTGGTCCCTTACTGTTTTCTTTTACCCACTTTGTAGTTAACTATTTCTACTACTTAACAGTTCTTTTTTATTAAATGTTTCCCATTCAAGTAACCATGGTGGCGTCTGTCTGACTGAATGATGTCCATAAAACATCTTAGAAATGTAAGTGCAAAAAAATCTTACCTTGCAAATGCAAAAATGGCTGTTCCAAGAAGAATGATTGAAAGAATACACAAAGTGACTGAAAGTATAATCTCTACAGTTCTTTCTGAAAGCCCTTCACCTGAAGAGGAAGAAGGATAACATTATCATTAGTTATTATTAAATGGAATACTATAGTGGGTCTCAAAATACAGAAGAATATTTTCTTGGCATATTTCTCAAGGAGGCTAGTAAAATGTACTAATGTGTTTCTCTTCTTCTTAGATCTTCTAACTTTGGGGCTTAGTCTTTGGTCCTCTTCTTGTTTTCTGTGTAAACTCACACCCTTGGTAAGCCCATGCAGCCTCATGGTTTTAATTCCCATCTATGTGATGATGACTACTTCACTGTGATCTATGGAACTCCTGACTTGCATGTCCAATTGCCTACTATAATCTTTATTTAGAAGTATAATTAAAATTTTAAAATCAAAATGTGCAAACTCCTGTACTTCCCTTCTTCCAACTGTATCTTTCCACCTCTTAGTCAATGGCAACTTCATTGTTCCAGTTGCTCAGGCAAAAAACCTTGGAATCATACTTAACTTTCTCTTTCTCTCTCTCTCATAGAACACATCCAAAATCTCTGTATTTTCAAAGGATACACAGTTTTCACTAAGAGAAACTAGGGGAACTTGGAGAGAGAGTAATTCCAAAGTGTGATCAGGGAACAAAAGGAATGTGGAACATCTAATGGGGCAAGAACGCTAAGAAGCCATCAAAGACTAAAGGTCTGGGAAGAACAACAGAGCATCCTGAAGAGGTTCCTACTGGCCAGAGATGGAACAATTTAAACTTTATAATGAAAAGAAAACTGAAATTGACTGAAATAGATTCAATATATAAAAATCCGTTAGTTCTAGTATTACTCAATGAAAGAGAGATCAAAATTAAATACTAACTTGTAAACACTGGTTATAGCTAAACCACCATTTTTTTTACTCTGAACATTTTTAATTAAAGGGAGAAAATTAAGCATTTTCCTCCCTTTCTCAAAGAACTGTTTTCTATGAAGTCAAAAAAAAATAGTCCTAGTTAAGGAGATAAAGCTCTTCATTAGAGGAGAATTCTGTTTAATAAATGTGGAAGAATTAAAATTTAGAAATTAATTTTTCACTCCTAATTAAATAACTGAATCAGGCAAGAATCATAAATACATCTTTAAATGATAAGATGGAAGGTTGATAAGAACTTGGATATTTCGGGAATGTCAAACTATCACCTCACAGATTATGTGCTTGTTATAACAAGGGGAAAAACCAGCTTTACAATGAAGGATCATGCTGCCACCAGCGCTAAACTTACCGATTGATTTTAAGATCACTGAAACTGTGACAACCAGGTATTGTACACTTCCTGAGGTGAGGTATGTTGATCTAGGCAGTAACACCTGTAAAGTATCCCTGCCAAAAATGTTGACTGTGAATGTTCAAGCCCTTAGATCTTATCTGTAATTAATTTATAAGGAAGTAGGAGATGATGGAGTAAAAAATAAAATGACACCAATAAGCAGCAGACAAATTCAGAATACGGGACCTCCTGCAGGACAGCTCACCTGGTTGCTTCAATGAGTCTATGGCATAAGGGGGAAAAGGAAGAACAAGTCTCAAGCAATAGAAGTAAAAGCAAAAATAAACAAATGACACCTAATTAAACTTAAAAGCTTTTGCACAGCAAAGGGAACCATGAGCAAAACAAAATGACAACCTAGGAAATGGGAGAAAATATTTGCAAAGGATGAGACTGAACAGGGTTTAATCTCCAGAATATATAAACAGATCATACAACTTAAAAACAAACAACCCAATCCAAAAATGGGCAGAAGACCTTAACAAGCAATTCTCCAGTGAAGACATATGAATGGCCAATAGGCACATGAAAAAATGCTCAAGATCACTGTCAGAGAAATGCAAATCAAAACTATGATGAGGTATCACCTCACACCAGTTAGAATGGCCATCATTCAAAAGTCCACAAATGACAAATGCTGGAGAGGCTGTGGAGAAAAGGGAACCCTCCTACACTGCTGGTGGGAATGCAGTTTGGCGCAGCTGTTATGGAGAACAGTATGGAGATTCCTCCAAAAACTAAAAATGGACTTACCATATGATCTAGTAGTCCCACTCCTGGGGATATATCCAGAGGGAACCTTAATTCAAAAAGACACCAGCACGCCAATCTTTGTAGCAGCACTATTTACAGTAGCCAAGACATGGAAACAACCTAAATGTCCAGCGATGGATGACTGGATAAAGAAGCTATGGTACATTTATACAATGGAATACTACTCAGCCATAAAAATAACAAAACAATGCCATTTGCAGCAACATGGGTTAACCTGGAAAATGTCATTCTAAGTGAAGTAAGCCAGAAGGAGAAAGAAAATACCACATGATGTCGCTAATATGTGAAGTCTAAAAAAAAAAAATAAACTTACTTACAAAACAGAAACAGACTCACATAGAAAACAGACATGGTTACTGGGGGAAAGGGAGTGGGAAAGTATAAATTGGGAGTTTGAGATTTGCAGATACTAATTATATATATATATACACACACACACATATATATAATAAGTTTATACTGTATAGCACAGGGAACTATCAAGATCTTACAGTAACCTATGAAGAATATGAGAATGAATGTATGTATATTCCTATGTGACTGAAGTATATTGTGCTGTACACCAGAAACTGACACATTGTAAACTGACTGTACTTCAATAAAAATATATTTTAAAAAAAGATTGAGACACAAGTCAAAAATATATGAACTTCTTACTTGTATCCTGATTCAAACTATAAAGAAAAAGAATCAGAGGATGAGTTGAAAATATATGTAGTATTATATATTAAGGATTTGTTAATTTTACTTAACTGAGATGATATAATAAAATGTACTTATTGGAGAAATATGCTAAAGTATTTTGGAATGGAATATAATGCTTTTTGTGATTAAGATACTTCAGAAATAAAAGAACAAATGCATAAATAAGAGATGTAGCAAAGTGGTAAAAATTAACTAAATTGAATAGGTGTGTGGAGGTTCATCATACCATCCAGAACTTTTGTGTAGCTCGGTTCACTTCTCACTACCTCTGATGCAAGCATCCTGATCAAGGCCACCATCCTGTTTCACATGAATTTTGTATGGACACTTAACAAGTCTTCCTGTATCCATCCTTGTCCTGTTTCCATCTATTCTCATTTAACATTCTTAACACAGAAGCAAGAGTAATGCTTTTAAAACATTTTCTCTCTATTTAAAATCCTCCTCATCTCTCACAGAGAAAAACCAAAGTCTTTCTAATGGCCTATGGCTGTCGGTTAATGGCCTCTGGTCCCTCATTAACTCTCTGGTTCCCTGTTACCTCTTTGACTTCCCTTCCAGTCTCCACCTTGCTCATTACTCTGGAGCCAGGCTGGCCTCTTTGTTGTTCTTGGAATACACTAGGTCATTCTTGACGCAGGGCTTCTGGCCAGCTTCTGCCTGTACCTGGAAAGGTAATTCTCTTGTACATCTGCCTGGGTAGCCATTTCATTACCTTCAAGGATTTGCTCAAATAATCACCTACTCAATGAAGGCTATACTGACCACCTCTCACAGACTGGATGTATGTGTCCCTCTAAAATCTAATACAGTGTGACTGTATTTGGAGCAAAGAAGCAATTATGTTACATGAAATAATAAGGGTTGGGCCCTAATCCTATAGAACTGTTGTCAACAGATGACTGGATAAAGAAGCTGTGGTATATTTATACAGTAGAATACTACTCAGCC